TTCCAGCTTTCTAGTGGGCGTTCCAGCTTTCATGGTGGGCGGTAGGGGTTTGCTGTAGCTCTGCTTTATAAATTTTATAAAGTAAAGTTACTTTCCTACTTTATAAATCACCATTACTGTGGAAACCGGTGGGCAGTTAGAAAATTTTACTACTAACAGAGATACAAAAGTGGGCGGTAGGTATAAAAATGTTGACTACCCTTGGGTTAGGCCATCTAACCATTGAAGCGCAGCATCGTTTATATTTTTTAAAAATCAGATACTAAACCTGTATATGCCCTCAGCTTATACAGGTAGTCCTCATATTATGACCACAATCAAGCCCAACGTTTATGTTGCTAAGTGAGAAATTTCTTAAATGAGTTTTGTGCCTCATTTGTTAAATGAATGACTGCCGTTGTTAAGTTAGTAACAGCGGTTGTTAAATGAACCTGGCTTCCCTATTGACTGTGGGGGTCAGAAGATCGCAAAAGGGGATCCTGTGAACCCAGGACACTGCGACCGTCATAAATGTGAGCCAGTTGCCAAGCCTCTGATCACGCAACCATGAGAATGCTGCGGTGGTCGTAATGTGGAAAAGGGTCATAAGTCCTTCTTCTCAGGGCCGTGGTAACTTCAAACTGCTGCAAGTGGGAGACTACCTGTGCCAGGTAGGCCAGCAGTGATTTCATACCTATAATTAACTTTTAAATAATCCCATCGTCTTGACTATTCTGGTAATCTTCCCTCCCCTTGACAATTGCAATTTGACGGTAAACCTCTACCGGTACTTTGCAGGAGGAACTCCCAGAATTTCCATGGGGCCCTGGAACCACATCCTGTCCACGTGCCAGCCTGAAGACCTCGAATCAGCTCATGGGATTGGCATGCCTGGAATTTTAAGAGCTGTAAACCCCACGGATCTTGGCTGTGTATGCTGGCCTGGACTGAGTCAATTTCTTGGCACGTCTGTAAGCCCTTCCTTGCTGAGCCCTGGCTTCTGTTGACCCAATGCCTTGGCAGGGAGCCCTTCCTGCTTACGGGGATTAAAACCTGTCCTGGGATGACTGGTTTCCACCCGAACTGAAAGGCACTCCAAGCACCACTTCCAAATTCCAGAGGACCACGTCCTTATCTTCTCTTAAGCCGTTGTTTGATCAAGCAGAGATCCAGGGGCTCTCCCTACCTCTCCTGACACACAGCTTTGCAAAGGCTACCTTTGAGACTTGCTATAATCCCCAAGTGGTTAATTAGGATATCTGGCTTCTGGGATTTTTCAGGACGTGCATTCCTGAAAGAAATCAATCCTGTTGTTTCCTTTCAATGGGGCAGGGTGGGGGGGAAGGAAAATGAGGCTCCAACAGGATACAAGCCGCCTTCTGCTTTCTCAGCCGGAAGGAAGGGGAACTTTTATCCTGAATTCAGAAGAGCGCTTTCCCCTAACCCCAGGCTCTGTTTGCATGAAACAGAAAATGGGGTTTGTTCCAAACTGCACGTTCCCGATACAGGTAGCCCTTGACGTACAACAGCTCGTTTAGTGACCATTCAAAGTTACGGCGGCACTGGAAAAAGTGACCGATGACCATTTTTCACACTGTTGCTGCACCCCTGTATTCACGTGATCAGTTTTAGACGCTGGGCAAGTAACTCGTATTTATGACGGTCACAGTGTCCCGGGGTCATGTGATCTGTGACCTTCTGACAAGCAAAGGCAATGGGGAAGCCAGATTCACTTAACAACCGTTGTTACTAATTTGAGAGGTGCCGTGATTCTCTTCACAAATGTGGCAAGGAAAGTCCTAAAAATGGGTGAAAATTCACTTAATGATGATCTTATTTCACAACAGAAATTTGGGGATCAACGGTGGCCATTAAGCCTTCTTCCAAAATGCTTCGGATGGGCCACAGTTCAGCAGAAACAAAATCCAGAATACGTCTGTCCTCCCAGTTGCCAATATCTGGAGGGATCACAGAGTGACGTGGTGGGACAAGGAGGGTCAGACTGGGCCACCCCCCGCCTGCTCCCCCTCCTCTGCACGGCTAAGGGATGACAATCCCCCTGGCCCCAAAGGATTGCGCCCAGGGTCACAGGGGAGCCTCCCCTCCCTGTTTTTCCCCCCTTTTTCCTTCCTTCCACTGCTGTTCAAAATCACCACATTTGTCCCTGCGTGTCTCAGTTCAGGCCCATCTTCTCCCACAGCGGTGGTGGGGCACATCTGGGAGGGGGGGGAGAGAATTGAGTCTGCCTATCAAGATGAGGTAGACCGGTTGATTTCGTGGTGTGGAGACAATAACTTGGTCCTTAACACCAATAAGACCAACAAGCTTATAGTGGACTACAGAAGGAATAGATCAGACATCCAGCCCTTGCTCATCAAGGGAGACCGAGTGGAGCAAGTGGCCAGTTTTAAGTTTCTGGGTGTTAGCATAAAAGAGGACCTGATGTGGGGCATCTCACATTGCAGCCCTAGTCAAAAGGGCCCAGCAGAAATTAGACTACCTGAGACTTCTTGGGAAACAACTGAATGGAAAACTGCTGGTGACCTTCTACCGCTGCACCATAGAGAGTATTTCAACTTACTGCACCTGTGTCTGGTTTGCCAATTGCACAGTGGCATATAGTACAGCACTCCAGAGGGTCAACGTCATTCCCCAGAGGGTCATTGGTTGCCCTCTCCCCTCTTTGGAAGCGCTTTATACCTCCCACTGCCTTAAGAAAGTTCAAAACATTCTTAAAGATCCATTTCATCTTTTTTTTTTTTGAACTATTACCACCTGGCAGACGGTACAGGACAATAAAACAAGGACAAATAGGCTAAAAACAGCTTCTATCCCAGGGCACTAACCATATTGAATTCTGCTGTATAGTGTAATATTAATGCTGTATCAGGAGTTTCAATTTAATTATATAGCCTGTGAAAGATTTTTATTTTTATAGTTATAATGTACACTGAAGATGGCATTTAATTTCATTGTATGAGGTGCAATGACAATAAAGTAAAATAAGCTAAAACTAAACTAAACCCAAAGCAGCTGCTCCGCTATTGTTTTTTATTTAGAGAATTTATATGGCCACCCACTCACTCTCAGTTATTCTGAGGACTTACAAAAAAAATTAAAAATTAACCACTTGTTGGAATGGGTGTAGGTGGAATATTCAAGACTGGTGAATGGCGTGTCTTCAACCAGCCTGGCATTCCAGAGGCTAAGGCTAACTATACTGTCTAAGCTGGGCAGTCATAGAAATAAATGCAGCCTTGCCCTGCTTTTGAGGGAAGGGATAAAAGAGACAGACGCATCCAGATGTGCCTTGGTTCTTGGAGCAAGCCAAGGCCATGAGACAGCTGGGGAAAGGAAGAAAGGAAGAAGAGAAGTTTACCAACCAAATATTCAACCCGGAATTGGATGCGCCATTAAGATTTAAATCTTGCAAAACTGAGATTTCTATTTTGCGCACCTCTTTTCCACTTGTTGCATTTTTCCTTCTTTTTGTCCTCTTTTCCTAGAGCAGGGCAATACCTTTTTAAAACAAAGACTGAGATATGCACTTGAAATGCCGCCGTCAGCAAATTCTTTAGTGTCTTTTCTGCAGATCATTTACGGACGACATTAACTGCTCAAAAACCAAATGCCCCGACAGTTCCAAAGAATTTCAAAAGAAAAGGAAGTCACTTTTACCACACTGCACGTAGGAAGAGCAAAAGCCAGTGGCACTTTCCGGCATAAGCCAGCTGTGCATGCAAAGGACTTTAACTATCACTTCCACACCCATATTTCCTGGGAAACAAATTCAACTTGCTGTACTGACCTATAGTAGGCTTCCTGAGAGCACAAAGCAAACTCCTGATCCCGACAAAAACCCCTTTTATTAATTGACTGTGAATTCTGCTCATTCACATCCAGCAAAGTCTTTCAAGGGAGGATTCACAGTCACAGACCTTATCTGGCTTGGAGAGCTGCCAGGACGATATCTGCAGAACTTGGCAAGGAGTCTTGGAGATTCGCGAACTAATTGTCTCCTGCAAACTCCATTCCCCTTTTATTTCCTCTGGGAGGGGCCATTCATCGTTCACCTGTGGCCTCACTCTCAAGTCGACCCCTGTTCTTTAGCTGTTCCCTTCGTCTGGCAACTCTGTGCATGCGCACACTAGGAACAAGCTCCAGCTGTTCTTCTGCCTCATTGATGTCTGACTCTGATAGCTGGCATACAGCCGTGGCCCCTGCTCTGCCTCCAACATAGAGCCCTTATCAGAGCCTTCCCCAGACTCCAGGAGTGCCCCATCTTCCCCCTCACCCCCCTCACTGTCCGAATCTGCTGCCAGCTCTGCTGGCAGGCCACAATACCTGCAAAACTTGCAAAACTTCCTCAACCTACAAAGACATCAGGAGTGAAAGCTAGTCTCTCTGCTTG